TGCAAGTATATAAAATACATTTCGATAAAATATACTCCAAAATTCACTTCCTAATGTTAATGTTAATTGCGAATTACCGTGACTTATCGGCAATCTCGGCTATCTTCGCGATCATTAAAATGGGCGCGATGCAACTTATCGCTCGTCCCTTTTTCATTGTCAGGATTTCGTAATTGTAGAGTCGCGTGAGAAGAAAGATAGAACAAGTTTGTGAAAACAAAAGACTCACAGATATCTTTTGCATTCCTTTGAAAACAAATATTGCATGTCGATATACACAAGTATTTCCGTTTATTTTGCCTAAAAAAAACTGCCGAAATTAAAGATTAAAGTTTATCTCCAATTTCGGCAACGAAATTTTGCTTTAAACTCGAAGCTAATTAAACCTGTTTGCTGAGACGGACTTTGTAAGCAGGACTGCGCGTAACTGATGATCAAAGTACGCGACCACATACTCACTTAGAAAATTAGTGGAAGTACTTGCGCGAAAATCTTGGCACGGCGATTGCCCTATCGTGCCAAGAATGCACGACCTCCGAGCCCCTCAGTGACCCTACCTCGACTGTGATTAACTTCATGACTTTTTTTGAGACGTGCCGGCGATCGAGTGGACCACGTAAATCCATACTTAATGTAATGCGATAATTTGCTAGGAAATTCGTACGATCAAATTTCCATCGCAAGACTCGCGAACAATCTCTTTATTTGCATTTGCTCAATTTTCAGGTTTTACTCATTGTTTATACTTTTTCTAAAGATGGCAAAAATTCTTTATTTGAAAATCTCAAAGTCTGGCAAAATATCGATGTAAATGCGTTTCTAAAACACGAGTTGAGTTTTTTCCTTTCTCAATCGCTTCGCCGAAAAGTCTTGTATATCCCTCGATATTTGCGCAAGGAGGAAAGAAGAAACGATGCTAAATTGATCGAAGAATCTCATTGGAAGGATTCTGTGCTCTCCGAGACGCGCAATACGGAAGCGAATATAAAAATCTCCTCTAACGAGAGGTGCAACTAAAGGGCCGCATCGCGACGCGGGCCGAGATTTGCGCACCGCTGCACCGGTAGAATCACCGCAGTCACTACGGAGCGTGCTCAATTTCCTGTTGACCTATTTATAACGCGCCTCCTATCCGCGGAGAAGCCGGCATACTTCTCAAGGTCCCGGATTGCTCGGCTGACTCGGCGTTGTACAGCGCGGGTCGGCAGCCGCCGCCGCCGCCACCGCCGCCGTCGTCGTCGTCGTCGGACTCCGCGGCCGCATCAGTGCGTCTGTCCGCTGTTAGAATCGCGAAATTGCGACCCGCGCGAAGGTACATATCGCGAAAACTGGGGCAGCTTTCCGGCTGCTTTTACAGCTAACGCGCTGGCCAGCGTTGCAGATAGATCGATAGACGCGTGTGTGAATCTCTCCGACGAATGTGAAACACGCGCTTCCCCGACAACACACTCCGTCGATCAATTTTGCGAAATTGCTACAACGAATCAACAAGCCCGTCCTGTCTCGCCGATAAAGCGACGCGATTTGTTTACGTCCATTTCGACTCCGCAAGACTTCTCCGCTTGGATTCTCATTGGCGTAATGTACCGTTGTATCTATATCACCTATTATATCTATATTTCATGTTGCATTCTGCCCGTTCCGTAAGGATTATTATGTGTATTTTCGTGTACTCGATAAAATCCCCACGGCAAACGGGCTTTCGTAATTGCGTTCGATAAATCGAAGAAGAGTTTGACTTAAGAAGAAGTTGAAAAACCTACGTCTATTGTCCACACGTCTACACTACAGAGAAAATATCGTAGTAAAAATTACGTTAAAATTATTTTTCTTTTTCCAGAATTTTCTGTAAAATTGGATTGTGTTGAAATCGTGATAAGAATGTACTGTAGAAATAATAAATGTTTTACGGTCTACCTGACGCACGATACGAAAAGTATTCAAGTATCACAAAAATTTTGTAGTAAAAAGTCAAACAGTGCAATAACATTTTTCTTTAAATATTTAGTAACTTTGGTTATAATTCTGCATAGTTCAAAATTACAAAAACTTTGTATTTGCTTATAATTTACTTTTTATTACAATATTTTCTCTGTAGACTTTTCGCATTACAAACTGTTAGATCATTCATAATTTTCACGTATTGAGAAAAAATACTTGAACATTTATTTGTGATATAAAATACTTGAAAATTTATTGTGAGATATAAAATTTATTTTTATAAAGTAACGTTTATTTCTATGAAACTTTTATTCCACATAAATAAATTTTAAAGTATTTTTTTCTTTATGTACTCAATAAGATCTTTACGTTTATCAAACCCAATAACGTGTACGACTATTTACGTCATTGCATCTGATGAACCAAAAAAATTAAAAAAGGAAATTGAGGAACTCGTGTAGTCACTACAATAAGCGTTTGGTGTATAATAATCCCCGATAAAATTATCGTGCAATGAATTTTTATGGACTCGGTGAAAGTATCCTCGCAGAATTTTTGTGATGTCTTAAATAGATCCCTTCGAGGTACGCGTGCAATAGCATTTCCCGTTATCGCGTGTGTACTCTTCGCGTAATTTGGATGAGCACGATTATATTTCTTGGCGAAAATTTCGTACTTGTGACGAAGAAAAACCGAGACATCGATTTTCTCGCGCGTTATATAAAATTTCAAGGTATTCCGAGATCAGTCGGGAAAAATGAGGTCAAGGATGAGACCCTTTGATAATTATGCGCTCCTGCTCGCTGCGAATGAACACAATGATTTACGTAAGCTGTCGTGACACTGTTCTTAAGTCGTCGCGGCGTCTTCTTGCATTCGCCACGTTCATGTACGTACAGAGTACACGAATCCACGAAATCTCTCAGACAAGCGCGTCGACGGCGAGTGAGAGGTCTCGTCGAATAATTCACGCTTTCTGAAGTATTTTCGGTCATTAAAAAGATCCCACATAGCATTAGCTTTATCTCGTTAGCGCGGAGCTATATATCGCCGGTATAATTAGAAACACTGTTTTTCCGATGGAAAAACATTCACCGTAGTTTCCTATCTCTCTTATTTCGCGATACTAATCGATGGAACTTAATGGATCAAGGACCGAGGAGAAGGCGGATCCTCTCTTGTACCCTCCTCTCATCCACGATTTTATGAAGTACTTGACGACGCTTTAACTCCATATGAAATACTACATGATGAGAATTTTATGATAAAAATTAGTATAAGATTTTATAACCGAGGAATAGGTCGACATTCTGTCGTAATTAACTATCTTTTCGTTTAATATTTGTGTATATGTGCTACTTTATATTTTTTAAATATAAAATATAAGTGTAAAATATAAATTATAAATTATAAATAGTGCATAAGAACTGAGATGTATTATAAACGTAAATAATTTGCTATACTTCTAGCAAAATTTACTATGTTTCCAGCAAAATTTATTATGTTCCCCAGTAAGATGTTCCCAGGCCTTACTAATAGACTATTTCTGTATTTATTAAAAATATAATAAAATTGAAAAGAATTTATAAAAGAATTAAAAAAAAAACCGTAATATTCTCTCCATGTAGCGTTATCTTTGTAACTTGTAAAGAATAGTGTAACCGTGTAATAAAGAATCGCCGGAAAAACAACCTTCGCGTGGTTTCCCCTTTTTGCAATCGATAGAATTTAATGGGTTAAAGGCCGAGGAAAGGGCGGATCCCGAATTGAGTGGTGTACTCATAGCGAGGCATTAATTCGGGAGACGTTCTCGAGAGGCCGTGCCGGGACAAAAAGATCAAAGATTGCTCGTTACCGACGAGTAACCGCGTGATTACGAACGAAATTAATTTCACGTGACTGTGCGCTCATGTTACGGGCAAGCGTATCTAATCTCCGAGATATTAATCTGCAACGATAACGCATTCCACAACACCGCTGGTATCGGGAGTGTCCGTTTCGAATTGTGCGATTGTTCACGAACAAGAGCGAGAATGAGTAGGAAACGCGTCGTCGGAATGCTTTCTAATGTTTCTAGCGAGATCAAATATCTCGAGACCCGCCAGTATCTTCAACGGATGAATGACATTGATCTGTGACGACCTTTGTTATGTCAATGGAATAGAGAGTTGGCTTCACCTTTTTGCAAAGCAGTAAGATATCCCTGCAATTCGACACGAGATTTAAAGTAATAGAGAATAATTTCGTATAATACCTACGTAACAATCTTTGTACAACATTGATCATTCTATAGGCAATCGTGCACATAGTGATTGGCAGAATATCGAAATGTCCGGAATTTTATAAAATGTAATTACTTTTTAAACGTATTATAATAATTTTATAAAATGTTATTACTTTTTAAACGTTTTAAAAAACAAATAGGAACAAAATAAAAGAAATAGATAAAAATTACGTCAAAACAAGTTAGATCAAATCTGTTTTAAACTATGTGAATATATTTTGGAAGAAACAAATATATTTTTTCTCGTTTAAATTTTGAGTTACAAATACGCGATTACTTACGGAATAACTGATATATACTATATAAATTCTTCTATTTTTTTTATTTTCTGATATTTCTTTTTCTTATTTTACGCCAAACTAATCACTGAAGAGTTCTCGATTTTCTCTTTTTAACTTCGTATAGGAGAAATTTTCCAATTTTTCCCGTTACACGGAAAAAAATATCAGCTTGTGCAAATGAATGAAATTAGACAAAAGACTCACAAAAGACGAAAAATAATATCTGTTACCATGACCTAAAATATCCCACTGAACATTCAGCTGCATTAAAACTCGGTTGAGATAACCGAGAGTAATTGGCTGAGTAGAAACCTCCTACGGGAGTCTTTCCGTCCGTACAACCGAGTTTTTTATCCGGTCTTCAAGTAACAGAAAATTCAGTTACACTGACGAAGTTGTTTCTCCCGTGGACGATGCTGTTCTCTGTTTATATTCATTACGATACTCTTCTCTTCTCGATCTTTTTCTACTTTCTCCAAATGAAATTGACTTACCTTGTAAACCTCCGAGAAGAAGCCCGCGCCGATCTTCTCCATGTAAAAGTCGTCCAAGCGGTTGAGTGAGGCGACGGCATGCCTGAGCGCCTGACAAGACGCGCCGGTACGCCTCTTCGAGCTCGAGTCCTGAAACGTCTCGCCCGGGCACACGCTCAATCCGTGCACACCGCCGTCCATCTCCGTGGGTCGCCAAGGATCGCGACACTTTTCCCGTTCCTTGTAGCTACGCGGCGAGGATGACCGCAATTCGGTCGGCAGATCCTGCGGCGGCGGGCAAGACGCGCAGCTTTGCTGCGGCGCGTCGTTGTTGACTCCCGTCCAGTCCTTGGATGGTGTCGAAGTGACGAAGTCATCCACGCAGGAATTGTCCTCGCAGGTGCTGGTCGAACTCGCAGAATCGCCGGTGCCGTCCTTCGCGTCGACCGTCGTCCTTGGTGACAACTTCTGATGCGCGCACACGTCGCTCACGATCGGAGCGTTAGACGCGTCATTCGTTGAGGACGCGTAACTCACGGATGCGTCCGCGACAAGTTCTTCATTATCGGACCTCTTTCCGCTCAATGATGGATGAATCACCTCGGAAGACCTCGTGGAAGATAGCTTCATGACCGTCGAAACGGCGTATCCCTGAGAGAACTTGAGTTGCTGCTGTTCATTGCATGTCGTTCTGCTTCCCAACTGATGCTCCTTGCCATTCGCGGACTCTCGGCTGACAGCGACGATCTTCTTGGTAGCTTTCGCGCAATCCCTCGGGCATGATTCAATGCTAAGATTGCCGGAGATCGAGGTAGATTGTAACCTTCGCGACTTGCCGGCAGAGGACGTCGCGGTTTTGGAAAAACTGACGCAACTCTGAACAGAGGAACACTTCTGTGCGGCAGTAGCGACTAAAGACGATGATCCAGAGGTCATCTTAGCGTTGATATTATGGTTCCTGCCAATCTGCGACGCTTCTTTAGCCGTACACTTGGTCGATATAGTCTTGGAGCAGGTAGAAACGCAGGTGGTCGTCTCGGTCCTGCAGGGTCTAAGGAGCTCCACCGCGGATGATGATTCCGTTGGAGCGGCTGGTGGCTGCAGAGTGTTGCATGGCGCCTCGAAGACCACCGAGTCGTCGACGACATTGTCTTTTGGCCGCCAAGGTCTAGCCTTGTCGTCGACGCCCACGTTCGGCGTCTCCTCCGCTGAGAAGCAGGGCAAGCACGAAGCTGTGCCAGCCGGTCTCGCGCACGACTTCGGAGTCATTCCGTTAGGTGGACCTGGTGTGTTCGACGGCGGCACCTTCCCGAACATCTTCGCCGTTATTGCGGCGAGGTCGCGCAAGCTGACGCGAGGCAACGGCGGCCCTGCGTGCGCCGCATCACACGCGGCCGGCTCGACGCACCTCTCGACGGTCGTCGTCGTCACGGCGTCGTTTTGCGGTGTCCTGCAGCGAAAAGTTAGTCAGGGCTGCTAGAACCGCGAGCAAGCGCGGAGGCAACACTACGGTTGCGATCTGATTAACGGATCGCGTTCGCGATCTGGTCGACAAACATTCTCTCTCGAAACGAGGTGTCGCAATGTCTCGGTTGACGATAAGCTAATGAAAAATCGATCCTCCTTTGTTTCCTCGTGTCACCGATCAAGTCGAAGTCAAAGGAAGAAGCGGTCTCCTTGGCGCAAAAGACGTTGAAGAGCTGACGGGGAAGACGTGGAGGTCTCGAGACGATAGAACGAGTTGTGTGTTTCTGGCGCAACGTGGAAGACACTCGTTCTCTCTCGAAACAGATCGGAGGAAGGCGAAGAAGGAAGCGGAGACCAGGGACTCGTAAGGAGCGAAGACACGAGCACTTTCGACTCGTTTATATTATATTCTCTCTCTTCTTTTTGGCAGTGACGACGCGCGTCGAAATCACAGTCGGTCAAACGAACGTTATCCTGGGAATCACGATGTGCTCCGGGACCGTCACGTTCGAGGCGCGTAGGAAGAGCGCGGTACCGGAACTTGGCACACGATTCTCTCCTCGTCGCCAATGGACGACTCGCCGGCTGATTCAGGTCTTCCTGAAATAAAATCACACCCGAAAGATAATAGGTAGTTCGTCGACAATTTCGCTCACCAGAATGATAACAAAGAAAAGCATGTTTGCGCGGGCCATCTCTCTTAACTCTTGTAATAGTTTTTTTTTTTTTTTTTACACGCGTTCATGTGACATTTCGTTCGACCTTGATTTTACTCGAAGAAAAAAGATAAACAAATGTAGAGAAGCTAAAAGATTACGTCGCGTGAGATAAAGTGCGCGGCGTTTTGACCTTTAAAGCACCAACCGGTTTCGAAGTATATTTTGAGAAATTGATAAGCATGACGTGATGCTGTCTCTAAATGTTATAAATCACGAGTAATTGAAGACGATTTTCCGCTCGTGTGGCAGATAATCATTTTCACACGCAGGGAATATCGCGCAGCCGTTGACCATTAGCGTCAAGGTTTTCTTCAGCTTTTCTCTGATGTCTCAGATTTGCGCTCGCGGTCACGCGAGTAACGGGAGAAGAGCGAACTGTAAGCCACGGATGTGTCGTTTATTATAAGAACAGTGGAAACACATTTCGCGGGCAATAACGAGCGAAATGTGTCAGATCTCTCGAGCGTTGAGGTAATGTGAGTGCTTTCACGCCGAAATGGTTATTGAATTTACATGAACGTCTATCGCCCGATGGTGATATATTTCGCGAGTCGTTGAGAAATTATACGTTGAGATATTGTCTGGTCGAAATCGGGAAACTGTCACTCCTGATCGCCGAAAATTATTTAATTATATACCAGTATATCGTTTCCCGAGTGAGACTGATTATTTCTAGATTCAAAACATCAAGTTTAAATTCTTTATTTTAACACAACACAAATCTCTCCGACAACACGCACAAGATCCTGAAGTGTTTGCGCTCGCATTTGAGCCCGCTGGTTCTAAAAACATGTAAACATCGAATTTCGAGTTTAGATTGAAGTAAACCAAACGCATACAGAAAAATACATACTGCATTCAATTAAGTATTATTTGTTTCCAATATTTCATAAACATTTATATATTCGCAAATCTACCGCGAATGTATCAAAGTATCAAATTTATTCAAATATATTCTGAACCTTAGAAAAGTATTTCAATCGAGAATATTAAATTAAATAAAAAATTCGATTTGCTTGTTACATAGAGTCAAACCAACTTTTCCTTCGATCAAGTTTTACAATGCTCTTGTAGAGAGAGTAAATTCTTCTCTTAAGCATGATAATGAGCTTTTAAGATGAACTGTTATCAAGAAAATATTCTGTTTTGAAGATAACTGGTTTGACATAAAGGAAGTAAATTAAATAATCGCCTCCTTTAATAGAATAGAATATTTTTCTGTGTACGCATCAGTGATACTGACAATTAGTATTGTATTTGTGTATATATACGCATCGGTGACACTCGTATGAAGGGTTAAGGACCTCTCGTTCAATAATATTGCATCAAATCAATCGCACACTGTTATGAAAAGTCATTAATCGAATATCATATAACTTTACATCTACATCAATTATTCCTCATAATACCAAATATCTTGTATGTGATAGCAGAACTCACATTACTGCATATCATTGCACTTATTTGCACTCATTTGCAACAAATAGTAAATTAGAATTTTTTCGCCCAACGAGGTCAACTGAGACCCAACTAAAGTCAAGCCAGCACGTTCGCTCTCGTCAAGTGTTCGATAAAGCCGAGTGTGCCGCATTCACGTGACGCGTTTTGCCGCATTGTCACATATACAATTACGACATAACGTGCACGTGTAACGATCACGTGCGCTGGATGTCTCATAAACGTCTAACATACGCTGGATATATTTCTTGAAGGCATTCGCTCGGGAAGAACGTCTAGAGATATTCGCGTGTCGTGAGCAACGGTAGCGAAGCAAACAGCCGCGCCGGGCAATAAACGATAGTCAGCACTTTGCACGTGTCGTATCTCGATTCGCGAAGAATGAAAAAAACGAAACGTAAAATGGAACGCTATTTCGTGTGCCGAATAAATTCACGCGAGAGAGCTCGTCTTGGACTTTAATCCACGTAGTAAGTCGTAGATAAGAACGTCTAGATTGTCCAAGTCACGAATTACAGATAAAATATCGTAGATAGTGGGTGCTCATTTAACGGATGTTGAAGCATTCATGACGTCTATTGTACGCACGGATACACCTAGATACACATAGATAATAATCACTTCCACGTGCCGGTTCGTTAGCCCATATTCGTCAAGCAAACGTACATTCCGTCGTCGTCTGTCTTTACACGAAAAAAAAATGTTTGGTATTTGTGACTACAGAATTACATGGAGAAGACCATTTCTCTTATTAAATTCTGTTATAATCAGACAATAATGTCACTGATATTAATGTGAAGGCCCTTGCACAATGCCAGGTTACAGGCAATAGAAATAAGCATTAGCCAATAGGAACAGGGAATAGAAATAATTGACCAATTCGAATTCCTATTTCCTGTTCCTATTGCCTATTGCCTGGCATTCTGCAAGGGCCTTAACTCTGTAATTACAAATACCAAACATTTTTTATGTGCATGTCATTATTACCATTTTCGTGTTGGAACAACACGAAAAATATGTGGTTGGGATAAAAAATAATTATAATTTTAAGTAAAAAATAATTCTAATTTTAGACCGAACATTTCGATATATCGTGCGTCTTTAGGAATATCTTACTACGCGACGCGTAAACATAGTATCGACATGTAACGAAGCCGGGACGTGGCTACGCGAACCGCGTGTGTCGGTCTTTTAATTAGCGTTACGGAACAAAACTGCGAGCTCTCGCTTGGGAAACGAACAAACGCAGCCAGATGAGAGTTAATTGTACTGCTAATTATTGCTAATTACCGTTAACCATCTCCGTTTGCTTGCTTCGAAACTTTTGATGTTTTCACGTGTGCCTCGTGTGACTATCAGTTATTGTTGCATGTAGTTATTGTTACATGCGCGACGCGTTGTCGCTGTCACGGAGAGAGTTTAAATATCCGTATGTATCGGGATTAAAAGTTTTCCAATATTTTTCACGCTCTATAAATTCGGTCGTTACAAATTTGTACCAACTCGGTGTACATACGTGTGTCGCTATGTCGCGTCAGTGGTATTCTTACACGATTTTCTTGCACTATGCTTCATTACATGATGATGTTTAATCTTTTCAGGAATAGATAGACACATGTGTGCACGTTTAAATACGCATCAAATTTTTCTTCTTTAATTCCAACACTACTGTGAATAGATATTCATCACAAAATTTCACCGCAAGGAGAAATCCTGTCATATGATTGGCGGATGTCACATTTGTGTCACTTTAAAATTAAATCAGTGTCTTTTAACTAAAAAATTCATTCCTGAATAAATTAAAATTGAAATTGTTTCCTCGCAAAGAGAAGCGCATGCTAGGTTAGCTGAAGAGCATGCTAAGACCAAAACGCGCATATTGTAAAATTCGCAAGGACAAGCAATGTAAAGCTTTATTCACGCTGTTATGTTCACAACGAGACTGATAAAGAAAGAAACGAGTGATGTTGCAAACGTCGAGAAATACACGTGTAAACAAACATCATGTACAGAATCCCGCCATCGTCGTATCGGAGTTTAATTATCGTTAAGAACGCGGCAACATCGTTAGAGAGAAATGTTATCCGAGAAGTATAAAAATCGAATAAAACTCGATACTTACGAATCATCGGGTTTTGGCGAATTTTGTCCTCGTTATCGTCACACTTGGAGTCGACGCGACGGAGTGTCGCCGTCGCGTTGTTCTCCTCGTCGACGCCGTTGTCGACGTGATCGTCGTCGTTCTCGTCGTCGTGGTCCGAGGAAGCTCTCGGATGTGCTCCGAGTAGTCGAGGAGAATTTTCGCGACGCGGCCGCCGTGGAAAGCGTCGTGTCTCGCAGTTGGCGCCGCAAGGATCCTGACGTCCGAATGCTTTTAGACGACCTTGAACCACGTGAGAGAGAATTTGAGCCCGTGACCGCGAGCAAACGGCAACGCTCGCTCTCGCAGGCTGATGACGGACGAGTCGAAACGAACGAATGAACGGCCGTTCTCACTCGCGCACGTTGTCACTCGATGTGTTTATCATCGCGGGATACGCGAGAGCCCGGCGATGTCGTTGCGTCGGCAGTGGCGCGTCCCCACACATCCGCGAGAGGCGACGAGACAGGTGAGACGCAATTTTCGGAGGAATCGCCGACACTCTTCACAGTCGATGCGTCCGGTAAACAGATAAACGTCGGAGAGACAGAGGAAGCGAACAGGGAAGAAAGAGACAGAGAGAGACGCAGAGGGTAGCACACCACTAGCTGCAGTCGCTGCTTTTAAATCGCCGCCGGCGCGAGTCACGACGATATGACACACCGAGCACCGCACTAAATCGTGTCTCCGCCACGTTCGTACACGCGCTAGCGTCTGTTCTAGCGTTCGAGGTCCCGCGACTCTCGGAGCTTCCCGATGTAACAACTTCTCACGACGGGCACCCGCACTCACTGACAACGCCAGACGGCAGCCATTACGAGAATGAGTCGCCGCGGCGGACGCGCCACTGCCACCGCACGGCGATAGCCCGAAACACGTCGCCCCACCAGCCGCCCGATCGCAGCGCGGTGGGGACGCGCCAAATTCGAATACGCGCGTCTACGCAAGAAACGTGAAAGTGTTTCGCGGCTTACGCGAATCTCGCTCGCGCTTCGTGGCTTTTAGGAATGCGTTCAATTGCAGCTGTAATCTCGAGTTATCGAATAATGTTCATGCGAATGCATTCGAATATTGGTGTGTCTCAAATTAATAAAGTTATCGCAGATGTCATGTTGCCTTGTGCGAAATATTCCTAGCAGTGTTTTAAAGGACACAATGTGGGAACGGGATTAGAGAAACTGTATCACTCTCTCAGCTCGCGAAGCCACGAGAGAACGAGAGTCGTTTCACGGTGTGCGAAATAATTTATGGGAATTTCTAATCCGCCCCGGCCGCCCGTACGTCCTTGTCTCTATCCTGCCAAACGCGCGTCCCTTACAAGACGAGATGAAAGTGTGAGAATCCTCATGTGCATACAAGCACGCCGCCTTTCACCGTCCAAACTGATAATTGTTGTTCAGTCCATGCTGCTCGCGACAATCGTTCGACCTAGAAGGAAATTAAATTTCCTCATTTCGCTGCAAAGCAAACAAATGTTTATAAATCTCACGGCGATCGATTATGAAAAGATAAGGTTTCGAGATTTCGATACATTTTCGAATCTATGGCCGGTATTCATAGTCCGATTTTATATTTAAAATCATCTTAAGTATTGTCTTAAGATATCATGAACCAATCACAAAGCTGTATTCGCATCTTAAGACATTACTTAAGATGGTCTTGAAATAAGATTCGACTATGAATACCGGCCTATGTTATGTATGATGTTAAATAAAAAGTTACAAGGTTTTTATCTTTGTAATATTTGTGTGTAAACTAATAAATTATTTAATTTTTTATTTACTTATATATATATATATATATATATATATATATATATATATATATATATATATATAT